ACTGAACCCTCTGAATGTGGCTGGCAATGAAGGCTGTCTGAGAAGCCAAGGACAATGGCATTGGGTTTTGATTCTACTGCATGGACTGACTTTGTGGGAGCCTGGTTTGTTTGGATGCTCACTTTTATATACCTGGATGGAGGGGGGAGGACCTACGACTTCCCACGGGGCAGGGAACCCTGAGTGCTCTTAGGAGAGGGAGGGGGATGTGGGTAGGGGGAGGAAAAAGGGAGGCAGGGAGGAGGTGGAAATTTTTAATAAATAAATAAATAAATAATTCAAAAAAGGGAAAAAAATAAGTGGATATTAGGTGGAAAGTAAAGGATAACCAGGCTACAATACACAGCCCCAGAGAGGGTAGGTAAGAAGGAGGGACAAAGAGGGGACTCATAGATCTCCCTGGGAAGAAGAAATAGAAGGGAATCCTGTTGAAAAGAGAGGGGAAGGTCATATGAACCAGAGGGGTCAAGAACATCACAAGAAAACCCACAGATTAACTTGGCTCATAGGAACTCACTGAGTCTGAACCAACAACCAGGGAAGTTGGATGGGACTGACAATTGTGTAGTTTGGGCTACTTGTGGGACTCCTAATGGGAGCAGGGGCTGTCCCCAATGCTTAGGCTGGCCTTTGAGATCCCATTCCTTATACTGGGTTGCCTTGAGCAGCCTTAAAACAAGGGGAGATGTTTTGTCTTACCACAACTTAATATGCCTTGCTTTGTTGATATCCATGGGAGATCTGCCCTCTCTGAACAGAAACAGAGGGGGAGTGGATTGAAGTGAGAGGGCAGATGGGAGGTAAGGGAAGGGAAGGGGAGGAGAGGAGGGAGAGGAAACTGGGGTCGGGATGTAAAATAAATAAGTTAAATTAAATTTTAAAAGATGTTTACATGGAGAGACAAAGGACCCAGATTAGTTACCAACACAATCCTAAAGTGTGAAGAGTGAAGTTGGAGGACCGACATTACCTTGTTTCAAGGCTTAGAGAGCTATGGTGATTAGGACAGTCACAGTGGCCAAATCAATAACTAGAAAAGACCTTTGGGGCCTTTATCTCAGTTCATAGGCCCATGCCTGCTCTCAGAAGTACTTCCCTTTCATGATAAACTACTTCTATTTCCATTTCTAAAAAATAATAAAACAAATACACAGATAAATAGATCAATAAATCAAGGGCACAGGATAGAATCCCCAGAAAATTATTCACTTCATTATAGTCAACTAGTCGTTGACAACAGTAAGGACCACACAATGGAGGAAGAAAACTCTTTACAAAATGGCCCTTGAATAATGGGACATTGGAAGATAAACGGAGTCCAGACACAGACTTTATTCTCTCCTTCGTGAAAATTAATTCAAAATGGGCCAGATTAAAGCACAAAAATGAAAAACTACTGAAAAAAAGACAGTTTTCTTTTGTGGAAGGCAGTTTGCTGCCTAAGTTTTTGAGAGAGTTTAGTCCCGGGTTTCTACACGCAGGGGGCTTTAATATTACTGACTGGGAGCAGGTAAAGGTAAAAGCATTGAAAGAGTGAGGGCCAGAAGAATTTCCCATAGTGATATTTTCACTATGGCGCTAGTCAGAAATACCATTTCATCCAGCATACATCTCTCCTCGTATAATGACAACAACCCATACCCTACCACAGATACTCG